AAGACACTCACACAGGTAAAAACACATTTATAATGATGCTGTTTTGTCTATGTATTTATATGTAATGGTTGTTATAATATATTGTGCATGTGAGAGAGTGCGTATGTGCTCTGGTACGTGTGAGGTCAGAGGTCAGCTCTTGGCAGCTCCCTCCCCTTTTGCCGAGGCAGAGCCCCTGCTGCTCTTTGAGCCACACCTCGCCCTCCTGGCTAGCGGCTAACTGACTAAGCGCTCCACGCTCACGCTCACCGCACGCTGACTTCTGCATCCGGCTTTTTAAAGGTGGGTTCTGGGGACTGACCTCAGGCTGTCTTTGCGGGTTAGCACTTTTACCCACGGAGCCATTTGCCAGCCCAACAATCTGTTTTTATGTAGATGAACTGCTATCTTTAAGGGCACTCTAGAGTTCTCGGTTTTCTCTGTAATGCCTTCATTTTTGTTTAAAATAGGATCTGCCTGTGCAGCCTCTATTGGCCTCAAAGTCGTGGTAATCCTCCTGCCTCAGCCTCCTAAGTGCTGGAATGATAGGCATGTGCTACTATGTCCTCCCAATGCTTTAATTAGTTAACACAAGCTGAAATTGGGGACTACATTGTTATCATTGCTATTAAATATATTTTTATTTTACGTGTTTTAGTGTTTTGCCTGCGTGTATGTGTGTGTGAGGGTGTCAGAGCTTGGAGTTACAGACAGCTGTGAGCTGTCATATGGGTGCTGGGAATTGAACCCAGATCCTCTGGAAGAGCAATCAGTGCTCTTAACTGCTGAGCCATCTCTCCAGTCCATTTATTATCATCATCATCATCATCATCATCATCATCATTGCCCTTGGGAAGTGATAACCTCATCTTGTTATAACAGGTAATTTTACTGTTTTGTTTGTGCTTTAGACTCTTCTACACACTTGAGGCAACCGTTAGGTTTGATGTTGACACTTTTAGACATCTTTTTCCTCTGGGAACTAACGTTGCTCAATAGAACTTTACTGCAAACACATATGTAAATTGCTCAAGTATTTGTGATCCCCCTGGAGCTGCAGTTACAGGAGGCTGTGAATTGTCCAGAGTGGGTGCTGGGGACGGAAACCACGTCCTTTGGAAGAATACGGCAGGTCTTCAGTCAAGGCCGGCTTGATGCACGTAGCAAGTCCAGGCCAGCCAGCGAGATTCAAGTTAAAAGTAAGAGCATCAAAAAAAAAAAAGTAGCCAAGTATGGTGGTTCAAGATTACAATCCTAGCATTTGGAAGGCTGAAGCAGGAAGCTTGTCTTGAGTTTGAGGACAGCCTGGGCTATGTCGTGGGTTCCACACCAGCCTTGGCTAAAAAGAGAGCCCCTGATCAAAAAACAAACACAAATGTTAAAAAGTGACTTCCTCAATCATATTCAGATTCCAGGTGCTTGGTTGGTCACACATGGCTGGTGCCTGGAATGCCGAATGTTCTGCAGAACACTGCTGGTCTAGACATGGCTAGACCATGTGGATGGAGAAAGGATGAAGAATGGGAAGGTGTTCGGTTGGGTCTTCACACCATGGTGTGAAGTGTGGGCAGCCTAGACTTCAGAGCTTGGGGCTGCAATTGAAGGATTTGTGGAGATAATACATCTTTCTTCCCAAGTGATTTAATATAAACCGTATTCACACACTAGACTTTTTGCCACTCAGTGGCAAAGGCTAGCAGAGGGTGTGAATCAGACAGTGGTTGTCTGTAGACAGCAGAAGGGGGCAGCAGGGAGCTGCAAGGGTGGTAAGCTCTCGGGGCCCAAAGGCTGGAGAGATGGTGGACTGTGTAATCCAGAGCAGGAGCTCCTGGAAGGGAAGAGCGGGGAAAGTGAGGCCCGGGGAGCTGCTGAGGAAGGAGGGGAGCAGGACAGAAGGACAGGTGCCGGGAATGTTTGGCCTCTTTCTTTTTACCTAAGTTATAACAAAAACAAAGAAAGTTAGTTATTGTCCACCAAGGGAGTTTTGGCAGTCGCCAAATCATTTAGTGCATTTCTTTTTTTTTCTCCTTTCTTTTCTTTTGTTTTGAGACAGGGTTTCTCTGTGTAGTCCTGGCTGTCCTGGACTCACTTTGTAGAGCAAGCTGGCCTCAAACTCTGAGGTCTCCCTGCCTCTGCCTCCCAAGTGCAGGGATCAAAGGCCAGCGACTCCGCTGCCCGGCGCTTAGTGCATTTCTTCCAGCTATGGAGTCATCATTCTGTACATGTACTTTGTCCCATAAGCGGCTTGAACATGTTCTGTGAACTTCTTTTTATGTCTTTAACATTCTCAGCTCTTTAAACATTTCACAGTTTTAAAAGCTGTAATTGTGTGTGTCTGTGTGTGGGTGCACACACGTGTTGTGCCCTCCAAGCCGGAGGTGACAGGAGTTGCGGGTGTTGCGGCAGCCTGCCGGGTGCTGGGAGCCCGCTCCGGTCTTGGCAGGGGCAGTCCAGGCTCCTCCCCACCTGGTCATCTTTCCAGCCTGCCCGGTCTCAGCTCCTTTTCCATTTGAGTGTGTGAGCACTCGCCTTTGCTCCCTTCAACAGACGATTACTTAGAACGCGCTGGGGCAATCCCGCTTTTCCAGCATTTGGTTAATATCAACCCTAGATCGATGTATGTTAATTTAGATTGATTTACTGTAAATCCTAGACAGATTTCTGTGTTCTAACGGTTTTCTTAGAATCAGTTCCTGAACCTGCATGGTGAGAAGTCCAGCCACAGAAGTTTCCGGATTTGCGCTTCCCAGGCCCACTCTGGCAAAGGTGCAGGTACAATTCTCCCCGAATCTCCCACCAACTCTGAGTAACACTTTTTTTTTTCCTTCCAGAAACCAACCCATGATAGCAAACAAAAACGAGTCAAATCAAACTAAGTAACCAACAACCCCACATCCCCAGAACTAACAACTTCGATAATCTGATCGGCAAAAAACGACCCAAAATGGCATCTCACTTTTAAAATTAGCATTTAAAAGATGGCGTGGTGGGATATGCTTGTAACCCCCAAACTCAGGGCATGGATTGGTAGTTCAAAATCCCCCTCAGCGTCAGGCATTTGGGCCGGCCTGGACTATATGAAACCCCATCTCAAAACCAAAAATCGAAACGACAAATCCAAGTGATTCTTTGATTATTCTAGATAATTATTTTTTATTAAAGAAATATGTGTGTAAATGTGCACACGTGTGTGTTTGTGTGTTTGCACACACGTGTCAAGGTTCAAGTGCACAGGTTAGAGAGTAGTTTTTGGGGAGTTGCTTCTCTACCCTATGGGTCAAGGGATCAGGAGGTAAGAACTCTTATCCACTGAGCCACCTTGCCCCTTAAGCTTCGTAAGTTGTAAACTTTATTTATTTAATGTCGCGGTGCTGAGAATGGAGTCCAGGGATTTGTGCGTGCCAGGCTAACGCTGTATCCTGATCCCCTCAATCTTCTTTAAACGTTTGCTGTGTACGTGGGTGCGTACCCACCCATTTTCATCATTGTTTATATTGTTTTCTTGTTTTTTTTCCAGGAAGGAGATCCTGTTGACCAAGCTGGCCTTGAACACCTAATTCTCCCTGCTTTAGCCTTTTAAGTGGGGGTGGGGGAGGGGTGTTACCTGCATACCAGACATATGTAACTATGTTGGGCAAGGCTTCGCTTTTAAAATACATTTTCTATTTTGCAGTCATTTTAGGAATAACTGCATTTACAGAAAAGTTGCCACGATGGGAGAGGGGTCTCCGTATTCTCTTCCCCAGCTCCTGCGAACGCTCATGCCTTGTCAAAACACAGACATTCCTCGAAGGTTGAAAGGCGTCTTGTTTTAAAGGCGAGAGTCGAGAAACTCTGATGGAAATTTTTGTTTAAAGTTTGGCTGATTGGAACCATAAATTCTGTGTATTTTTCAGTCAAAGCATCGTGTTCTGAAATAGTGTTAGGAGATTATTAACCCTGCTGCAGAGCTCACTTGGCTACAAATAAACATGCTTCGACGTCCGGAGTTTTGATGTGGAAGACTTTCGGAGTCTGGAAACTGTTCTGAGGGATTTAATTTGTGGTTGAGTCTCCTCTGGTTCCATATAGCACCCCCCTACCACCCTGTGGTTCTGCTGTTTCACCTTCTGGGGTTAGAGGACAAACCCTGAGAAGCGTGCCTAGCATCATCCTGGTAGAAGCAACATACCGTCAGAACCGCTTTCTCAGGGGCCGATCACCTTTCTCCTTCTAAATTACAGCTTCCCCAGGGATCCGATGATAAAGGCACATTTGCTCAAAATGGTCGTTCCCTGGGGCTGAGTAGGGGTCATTGGGCCCTGTGGAGCATCAAAGCTGGGAACTAGAGCCCGAGGTCTGGGCTCTTGGTGCCTGCTCTACCTCAGACTAGCCCTGGGGGTCTGTGTGAGCCCCTTCCTCCAGGCTGTGTGTGGGTGTGTGTCATTTCTTCATCCCTAAAGCACAAGGCTGCCAGTGACCTCTTTCTGGCTGGAGATTTTCTCAGTGACTCCCAAAAGCAGATGTTATCAGGCACAATGGCTGTGGGACGTCACGCTGATTGCTGCCATGTGGGTATAGACCTATGTCAAAACTTATCAAACTGTGTGTTTAAAACACAGCACGTTACCGTATGTCATCCTGTGTCTAGAATTAGAGAATGAAAAACACGATGCTCTGTGGTATGGACCTTTACATGGTCAGAAACAGAAACAGAGGCCTCTCACAGCCTTCTGTCAAAGCAGCCCACATTCTCTGACTTCCCTCCCTTCAGTCTTCTCTTTCTCCTTCATCCCTTCCTCCCTCTTTGCTGATGTTCTTTCTTCCTCTAACAGGGTTCTGCTGTGTAGCCCATACTTGTTCCAGCTCAGGGTACCCCTCTCTCAGCCTGTGCTGGATTAGAGGTTTGCACCACCATTTCAGCTGTTTAGTGTTGTTTTGATTTATCTTTTTTTTTTTTTTTTTTTTCAAGACAGGGCTTCTCTGTGTAGTCCTGGCTGTCCTGGAACTCTATGTAGACAGAGCCAGCTTCAATCTCAGAGATCCACGTGCCTCTGCTTCTGGAGTGCTGGGATCAAAGATGTTCAAAGATTAAACACCTGGCTCCAGTTGTTTATTTTTAAAATTTTTATTAACTTCCTGGGAGAGCGTGTGTGTCACGGTGTGTGTCAGAAGGCGGCTTTGTGGAGTTGGTTCTCTCCTTCCTCCTTTACGGGGGTTCCAGAAATGAACCTTGGGTGGTTGGTCAGGCCTGTTTGACAGTGATCCAGCTGTCTCTCCAGCCATGCTTTTTGTTTTTTTATTACTTTCATTGCCTCAGCCAGGCATTATCCTCCAGCGCTCTCTCTCCTTTGGACTTAGGAGTTTTCAGCTCCAGGCTTTTCCCTGCCAATCTTCCCAGGTGCCGCGAACAGGTACCATAGGTTGAATTCATTGATAGTACAAAAATTCCCCTCTGAAAGGAAAGATAATTAAATTATTTTCCAGGACATGGTCTCTCTAGTACAGAGCTCTAGCTGTCCTGGAACTCACTCTGAAGACCAAGCTGGCCTCGAACTCACAAAGATCTGCTTGCTTCTGCCTCCTGAGAGCTGGATCAGAGGCTGCATGGTCTTAGCCTCTCCCACCTTGTGTTTGCTCGTCACTAGTGTGGAGCCTCTCACCGTCACCGCACACTCCCTGCCCTGAGACTAAGCTTGAGGGCATCTCTTTGAGGTAGGTTTGGTGATGTTCCAGCACACTTGTTTTACTTATCAGTAACTTAAGACAGGGTGTATTACAGGCTCTGCTTCTTGGGTTTCTCTTCTTCCTGACTTTTTGCTATTTTTCCACTGTATTTATTTTATGCATACAGGGTTTGGCCTGTACATCTGTGTGCTGTATGAGCCTGCTACACATGGAGGCCAGAGAAGGTTGTCTGGTCCCCTGGGACTGGATTGCAGATGGTTGTGAGCTGCTATGTGGGTGCTGGGAACTGAACCCAGATCCTCTGGAAGAGGTGCCAGTGTTCTTAGCTGCTGAGCCATCTCTGCAGCTCTTTCTGCGTCAGAAGAGATAGAAACCCAGGGTGAGCTGGGCAGCTCAGCTGGTGCTCTCCTGGCACATGCAGGGCAGTCCTAGGGCTCAGGAAGGTCAGAGAGTTCAAGGTCATCCTCAGTTATGTAGGTAGCTTGAGACCAATCTGGGCTCAAAAACAAACGAAAGAGAACCAAACAAAAGGAACACAAAATAAAAGAATATAAACCAAAACCAATCAACCAAACAAACAAAAAACCCAGAATGAAACAAAAACATGAAACAAAAAGAGAAATAAAACCCAAACTAATTCAGTAATTTCTTCAACTAGAAACATGGTGTGTGTCCCTTTCTCCTTCAAGAATTCAGATCTAGGAATTAAAAGTGTGTGCAGATAAAATTTTTGCTACACAATGGAAAGTAGAAACATTCTCTCCAGCTGTTTGTGGTTGGTTCTTGCCAGGCTGAATGTAAAGTGTGGATGACAAACAGGATTCCTATTCACGTGGATCCAAGAAATAGGATTCCTAAAAGGAAAAGATGCACCCGTTTTCCTTGTGAACAGTGAACAAAGTTAGATTATTGAGGATCTATGTATAGACAAAGAAAAATTACTTTCATCTAAAAACAATTTTTGTAGTACAATCTATGCTTCAGAAAACAAACAACAAAAACAAAACAAAACAAATCAAGCCAGGTATGAAAGCCTATGCCTGTAATCTCAGTACTTGGGAGCCCGAGGCAGGGGAATTGGGAGGCCAAAGCCAGCTTGAGGACAATCTGTGTGTGGGAGAGAAAGAGAGACAGACAGACAGACAGACTGACAGACAGAGAGAACTGTAAATTATCCAAAGAAATTTAGAGAACCGATACCAACTGGCTTTCCTGGGTGGAGGCATCAGTGATTCAGTGAACACTCCCTTTAAACACAAACTTTCTCAGCAAGCATCTCCACTGCTCTCATCGGAAAGACTTTCACTGTGGGAAAAAGGACAGCAGTCGAGGCATTAATTTGGTACAAATGCAGATGGATCGCTTTAGAGACACTGTGGAATTAAATATTACAAGGCATTCTGTGTTGTTTATTTAGTATAGAGTGAGGGCCGGGCCGGCCACATCTCCAGGGACCTGAGCAGATGTGGACGAAGCGACTACGCTGCTTCAGGGTAAACACTGAAAATAAACGAATGAGCGAACTAATAGAATGTGATGGACAGGATGCCGGGTAATTGCCATAAATGCTTTGCCCACTCCCCCTTTTTTCTTTTTTGTCAGAGACCCCGAAAGGACTTTAACCTCTGGGTCTATTAATCTGGCTTCTATCACCAAGCAGGGCTAGTGGCACTTCCTGTTCTAAATCCTCAACGTCTGATTTGCCCTTGGAATGCTTTAGCAATTTGTTTTCTTTCCAATGAAATGTGTTATCTCACCCTGAAAAAGGAAAAATATACAGACCAGCGATAGCACAGCCTAGTATCTGGGACCTTGAGAATTTCACATGCAGGTGAGAATTTTCTCACATGGGAATCCCCTTGAATTCTCAGAGGGTGAACTGATGGGCCCCACTCTGCGCCCTATAAAGCTCAGGAAGGACTCTGAACTCTGGGCTCTGGGGAAAACCGTGACCATGAAGTTGACCCTGTTATTGGCTGCCCTATTTGGGTATGTCTACTGTCGAGAAACATTTGTGGGGTAAGTGACACTTGTGTCTACTGTCGAGAGACATTTGTGGGGTGACTCTTCCTAGTGTTTATTTGAATTCTACTTACCTGGTCCATGAAACCTCTCATTTGCTCATAACTGGATCACAGAATAAGGCATGTTCAGTGTTTTCAGAATGCTCTTGGGTTAGGGGGAGGTAAGGGAAAAATAAGAGTTGATCAAAGAAGAGATGAATGACTATGGAAGGAGGAAATGAAACTGTCAAAAGCTCCAAATAGAGACCTTTCATTTGGTAATAAAGAATGGGATTAGAGTTTGGGGCATTCACAGGCTGTGGCGGCCTCTACCATGTACAGAAGACGGGAAAGGCTGGGAATTCACAGGCTGTGGTGGCCTCTACCACGTACAGAAGATAGAGAAAAGGCAAGGAATTTTGTAGGACAGAGAAATGCATTTTGAATGGTGATGCCCAGGGGAGCTGGTAGGCTCTAATGGGAGACGGGGGGACAATCACTGTGTGAAGCTAGCCTTAAGATCGTGGCTGGGCAAGGAGAGCAACAGAACAAGAAAATTTGAACACAGGGAACTTCCCAGAGACTCATACTCCAACCAAGGACTATCCGTGGAGATAACCTAGAACCCTGACAATGCAGCCACTTCTGATGAGAACTGATAGACTAAGATCAGAAAGAAGGAGAGGAGGACCTCCCCTATCAGTGGACTTGGGGAGGGGCATGCATGCAGAAAGGGGGGGAGGGTGGGGCCGGGAGGGAGGAGGGAGGGGCTTATGGGGGATACAAAATGAATAAAGTGTAATTAATAAAAGTTAAAAAAAAAAGAAAAAAAAAGATCGTGGCTGGGAGTTCCTTCATCATTTGCTAAGTAAGAATAGCCTTTAAGATAAGGCAGGCTGTCTTTAGGGGTGCTGGTTCTTTGAGATACATCTTGGAGCATGAGCTCAAGACCTGTGCCTCTTTCTTTCCCATGACCCTAGTCAATATTTTACTGGGGTGTGACAGGACTGACTCCATTTTGTAAAAATGGACTTTCCACAAAACTGACCTCTCACCGTTTTCCCTCCAGTGGTCAGAATGTGGGGCTGACAGACAGCAGGGAAGAGCTTTTGTGTCTGCACTCCTCTCTTTCCCACCCGCTTCCCTCCTCTGAGGGCTTTGGCCTTCCTGCCGGCCCTGTTCTCCATCCTCAGGCTTCCTACCTGGGTAGTGTGGCCTCCCAGAGAAGGAAGGCCAGGGCCATGGGTCGCCACTTCAGGACGGATCTGTCCTTGCTCTGAAAGGCTTTGGTTCTACTGTTCGTCTGTTTTTGAGACAGGTTCTCACTCTGTAGCCCCAGCAGCCCCAGAACTCCCGTATCAGGCCACCCTTGCGCCTCCCCACGGCTTGTAGGAGTCTTTCCGCTTCTGCCTCCAAGTTCCAGGCTTCTAGTTGTGAGCTGCCTGCACCAGTCCTGGTTCCAAAATTCTGTAATGGGGGCTGGGAGTATTTTTGGAGAGTATTCCAAGGATATTAATGAAGCACTCTAGTAAATGTGGGTCATGAAAACAGCTAGCCAGGTCCATTTGGGAATCAGAGAGTTAAATGAACTGTAGGATTTCTAGAATGTTGACTAAGTATTCATTAGAAACCTAGGAGGGACTTTTTTTAAAGTCACACCGCTCCCTTGTTGCTGACCAACTTCAGGGCTGCTGTTCCTTAGAACACTCACCAGGAAATATTGGTCTGATGTGTTCCTTCTCCCAGGGCTTCATTCTAAAGATGGGCTCCTGGGGGTCCAGGCGTTAGCTCAAGGTAAGGAGACCCAAATGGAGGGCTTCTCAGACTGCTGTGGCAGGCGGGTCCTTGCACGTGGACAGGTCTGGAAGAGCTGTTTCTGCCACACGTGTGCATGTGCGGGGCCGGTACCTGAAGGCCTGGCTTTAGATCCTCACGCGTTCCGGTGAGTCCCGTGGCAGCAGCCCTTCCCGACGCTCCCGTGGATAGGCAGTCGGCTACTTGGACAGGGACAGAGAAAGAAAAGGCTGTTACTAAGCCACAGGTGCCTCTACCCAGAGTCCTCCAACGCTGTGCTTGACAGTTCGGGAGCGTCTCTTCTGTGCCATGATGTCTGTCTCTCCTCAGGACACACAGGTGCACAAGCGTTCGGGTGTCACATGCCATCTGATTTGCCTGGGCCTCAGTTTTCCCTGGCTGTGCCCCAAGTCTGTTTACACATGGGACCTGGAGATGGTACTCTGCAGTATTTTCACTCACAAAATAAAACAGACAAAAAGCAACCAGGAAACCAAACCAGGAAACCGTGTCTCCTCTGATGTGGATCTAATTCTTCTTTTGGGCACCGTATTAATTATTCTCCTTTCCGTCTTTCTTTCTTTTTGTTCCTCCCTGAAAAGCAGGAACAGACAGACAAGTTTAAAAGCCAGTGCTTTATGAGCAGCAGGTGTTATTTGACAAATACTCATTAGCTCAAGGAAAGAAAACTTTAATGGCTTCCTGCCAGGAGCAGGCACGCGTCTTAATTATTATCTAGATAACATTTCCTTGGAGGAAATCAAGCCGTTTGATCACCTCCTCATTCTGGGATGTGGGTCAGTATACAATTTATTAGTTTCTGGCTTGTGAAAGAGATTATTGACTGCTGCATTCAGCTCCTCCATACAGAGGCTGATGGGTGCAGAAAACAACAGGAAATGGCAAACAGGTTTTGCTTTCAAGGTCATGTCTGTGGTTAATATCTTTTAGAGATCAAGTTCTTGAGGTCATCCCAAATGATGAAGATCAAATTAAAACTCTGATCCAATTGGAGGCTCAAGAGCATCTTCAGGTATTTGTCAGAGCATCAACTGTCACTCCCTCTGGTAAATAGTTCGCACGACTGATGTCCATTTTGGCATGCATTTTGACTCCTTTGAGGTCATATGGGGTGCCAGCTCTCAGAGTTTGGGTTCCAAAAACCTGGACTTTAGTCCCAACTACAGCCCTGAGCAAACACCTTTTCTCTCTGTGACTTCATTTTCACAATCAGAAAATTAAGGAAAAATATACCATTCTTCTGGATATCTCCCAGGACTATGGCAAGAAGGAAAAAGGGATGGAAAACATGAATACTACTTTGAAACACTGCTGAACACCTTTAATTCATTATTTCCCTTTAAAAATAATTTATGGCATTAATATCCCATGATGAAATGAATTGGAGCCCTTGAGTGCCAGATTGGTTTTATTTCTTAAGACCTTCCATAATTTAAAATCATCTGTTCCTCTGCCAATTTTAATATCTAGCCGTGGGGTGTGTGCGTGCTGGAAAGTTAGCATGCTTGCTGGTGCTTGGATACGGAGAAACTCTTGCTGCCTATCATAGTGAGTCCAGAATGATTCTGCTTTTGTAGACTCAAAAGAAACTAGGTAACAAATTGCATTATTGAAATCCTCAGGGTGCAACTATCTGTTCCTCCCAGAATGATTCACTCATTTGGCTCTTTATTCTTTCAGCTTGACTTTTGGAAATCACCCACCACCCCCAAACAGTCAGTCCATGTCCGAGTTCCTTTTGCCAGCATCCAGGCAGTCAAAGTTTTCCTGGAGGCCCAGTGGATGGCATACTCCATCATGATTGAAGACGTTCAAGTATGTAGGCCAAAGAGCAGCCTCCCAGGCCTGCTGGTCCTTTCCCACTCTGCAGGGACTGTGGGTTTCCCGTGGGCCTCCTGTCAGTGCGAGCTCCGACCTCAGATCTTGGGGAAGAACACCTCCTCTTCCTTTTGTATTTCAAGCAAACGGAAGGAAGGCCATCGGTGATTCGGGTAGTTTTTAATCAGAGGTTAACTCAGAAAGGCACGCTGAGCAGCAAGGTGGCCTGAAGGCCTCCTGTACTGTCACCCTGTGCCTGGAGCTGCTGCCTGGCCCCAGCCATGTGTGCCCAACCTTTTCAGAGTGCTACTGGAATCAGAGAGGTGTCTGACCCCGGGCCCATGGACAGGATCTGAGCACAGTGAGGAACGCTTGGCGGACCCAGTGTCAACACTTTGCTTACACCACCACGCCGAACACAGTGCTGGCAGCTAATCAGAGCACTGTCTTATCTTAGGTTCTGCTGGATCAAGAGCGTGAAGAAATGCTATCCAATCAGCAAAGAGAGCGTGGCAGGAGCTTCAACTTTGGGGCCTACCATACTCTGGAAGAGGTAGGCGAGAGAAACCGCTCTTTTCTCTGAGGATGAGGCTACCCCGAGGGATGATTAGTTTCCTTTTGTTTCCTAGCGTCCTAAGGTTTCCCTCAGATTCCAGAGGCAGGGCCTGCTTAGTGCAGGAGCTGAAGTGGGCTTGTCCATCAACAGCCACACAGCTATTTTGGAGGTGTCTGGAATGTTTTAAGTGAGTCCACAAACAGCTCTTTCACGCTCCCCACAACACCCCTTTGCTGATTTTGAAGCTGCAGAGGCTAAGAGTCACTCAAGAGCTGTGATTAGCTGTATGGTCTGGGACATGTCGGGGCCACTCTGAGCCAGCTGATGCCCACACAAGGTGGGGGGGGGGCTCCCAAATCGCACACTGCTCCAAGGTCACAGGGTGACAAAAGTCTAGTCTCTGCCTTCCTGCGCTCACTCCTTCCTTTCTCCACGGCAGCCATGTGCTGCTATGAAGGCACAGCTGCGGCCTGCACTTACTAATGAGCCACAGAGCCTTTGGGAAGTCAGTCTGTCTGCACTGACTGGCTGTGGCAACCTGAGAGCTAAGGGGAGAAGTGCAGACTAGGAAAGAGTAAGGGGGCACTATACCTCCAAACAAGGCCGTTCAGAGTGTGTATGCATATATACACATACAAATATATGTGTACACACACACACAGCACTTTCTAATGTTTTTTTTCTTCCCATAATTTAGTTAGTTGTAAAAGCTATTTAAAATGATTAGGGGGAAGCCGGGCGGTGGTGGCACATGCCTGTGATCCCAACACTCGGGAGGTAGAGGCAGGCGGATCTCTGTGAGTTTGAGCCTGGTCTACAGATTTGAGTCCAGGACAGCCAAGGCTACACAGAGAAACCCTGTCTTGAGAAAGCAAAACAAAGCAAAGCAAAATAAACAAAATAAAAAAGATTTGTGGGAAAATGACTTGAACAAATTTGTTCATGTTTCATTTCCAGAAATACCAGGCGATTGAACATGCGCCAGTGTTACCTGTGTAATATGTATGTGTGTCTTACACCTTCCTAACCGCCCCCCAAGAAAAAGGCGTGCAAAGATAAAAAGCGTGCTCTCTGCCACTTGCCGAGCTGACAAATAGGTGTTTGCGACAGACAGCACCTGCTAGCAACCGCTGGGTGCTGCTCCCAGGTTTCTCCTCTGAGGCGGCCGCGGCCTGGACGTGAGGGGAGCACACACTTTCAGTGAGCCTCACACTCACTGAAGCTTTCCCGAAGCTTCACACTTGGGGTGGAGCGGCCGCTGGGGAGGACAGGCCTGCGCGGGGAGCGGAGGGCAAGATGGCTTCTCCTCCCCGGCTGCTGCCGCAGCGCCGGCTGCAGCGGGGTTCGCTCAGCCGCCGTTGGCACCTTTCAGATCTACCGAGAAATGGACAACCTCGTGGCCGAGAACCCTGGCCTCGTGAGCAAAGTGAATATCGGCTCCTCCTTTGAAAACCGGCCCGTGAGCGTGCTCAAGGTAGAGGGGCAGCGACCTTGGTTCGTCGAGGCTCCCCCCGCCCTTTCCTCCTCCCGCTCCCGGGTCCTTTTTCCTCCTAACCGGTCTCTGCTGGTTTGGAGCCTCCCCGCCCCCGCCCGCCCCGTCCCTCTTTCTTTTTTTCTCCTCTCCCGCGCACGCCGACGCAGGTCGGCCGCGGAGAATTGATGCTCGCGGCCCGAGATGCGCTCGCCGGGAGCCGGCCGAGCGCGCCAATCGGAGCCGAGCAGGAGCGGGGGCGGGGAGGAGGGAGCGGGGGCGGGGGGAGGAGGGGCGGTGGAGGGGGGACGGTGGAGGGGGGACGGTGGAGGAGGGGCGGGCGCCGGGCGAGCCACCCGGGTGGGAGCGCTGCGGATTTCTCTCTCCCTCTCTTCTCTTGTTAAGAGCCAGCTTAGAAACAGAACAAAACAAAAAAGCACCTGGCAATTGCCCGAACCGCATTGAAAACAAGAGACAAAACAAACCACCCAAGAAGCCGGGTGTCCGCGCGCGGGGACGCTGTGTCTCGGTGGCCCTGAAAGCCGGCTGGAGGCCGCTTTCCCTCGGCGCCGCCGACAGCCCTCGGGCTTCAAGCATTTGCACTTTGTTCAGAAAACCGTCTCCCCAGACTTCCTAGAAAGAGTTTGTTAAGGGGGGCTGTGGGGTGTGTCACAACGCCCTGCTGAATGTGGACGCGTGTGGCGGGACCTGGCCGGCGTCCTCGGCGCTGCCCCGAGCTGGCCCGGGGGCGGCTGCCCGCTGCCCGCCCGGCCTGCCGCTGGGTCGGGGGACCCGCTTCCCCTCTGCCTGGGCTTTTCCTGGCCTTCGCTTTCTCCAAGTGGTTTGCTGGTTGAGACCTCTTTTTGTTCTTTAAAGTTCCCCGGCCTTTGGCATCTGAGCCCTTTGAAGGAAAAGGCTCCAACACATTTTCAACACAACTTTCCCAAACCTGTGAAATGTAAAAATTTTAGCGACATTTGCGTTTCTCGGTTATGCTTAGGGTGATGCACAGAGGTAGAAGCTGATGATGCAAACATAATCTTGTCCTCCCTATTTACTGGTCCAATCGGCAAGGCCACTGCTCCAAGTAACCCAGCCGCTTAGGCCACGAAAAC